GTTATATTTTCAGGTCATAATTTTGGATTTAATAATTATTATACCTGTCATTGTTTAAGTAATGAAAAGTGTAATATTAAAAATGGTGGCTGTAGAAGTGGATGTTCAAGAGGCTGGAGAGGACCTTCTTGTCAACAAGGTATTTTCAGAAAATAAATAAATTGTTGGCCTAAGGCCATTACCATATACAATAAAATACTAAATTTACCAAATTAAGCAATATGACCTTTGACAGAACGTTGAGATGACCCAACTAGTGGCCAAGAGGAATGAAACTTTTAATTGTATTGTTTTAATGCAGTATTAAAGTCAGATATTAAAATATTGTTATATATTATGAATTTTTATTTTGTTTCAGAAAACAGAGCTTTAGATTCTACGTCTGTCAATCAAAGTGGAATATATAACAATAAACCAAGTCTATATGGTCCTCTACTAGTTGTAGATGGATATAACGATACCAATAGAAACATACATTACTGTAGTGACACTGAGACTGATACCTCAACTTGGCAGTGGTGGTCTATAGATTTACAAGAAGAATATCCTATAGGATATTTAAAGATCTTTCACAGATATGATCGTAAGTTATATTAATCTTTTAATGACAAACAATGGTTTTTAAAAGTTACTAATAAGGTCATCTCGTAATTGTAAGGAAAAATATTGTACTTAAGGAGGGCAAATATAGTCGCTCAAACAGCCATACTTTAATCCTATCAGTAATTCACTGATCAGTAAAAACGTTTTGTAATTTAGTATAGGCTACAGAATTTTAACATGTTATTTCAGGATTGTATGTTTTTAAAGGGTTTTCGGTACATATTGATAATGAATTATGCTTTCGACATACCGGATCATCAAACCCTCCTGCTGTATTCCCAATAGAATGTAGAAAAACTTTAACTGGTCGTCATGTTAATATCAGCCGTGATACTGATACACTTCGATATATCGCTTTATGTGAAGTTGAAATATACGGTAAGTTTTTTGTGAACAAATACGTAATATTCACCAAAATTTGTTCCATTATTCTTATATAAAAGCCAAAAAATGCTTTAAATAATTATAATCGAAAGGGATTTTCAGTACATATTGATAATGAATTATGTTTCAAATCAGTGAAAACGTTGTGTAGTTTAATATATGCTTTTGAAAACGTGNGATGTCTGTT